TATAAATATATGCGCACGTGTATATGTATATGTGTGGGGCACAAGTTTCTAGGTGCACTGAACTCGGATCGCAACGACGACGTAATAGCACATGGTATATATATATATATATAGTTATGTATACACTATCCATACGTATATATATATATATATATATATATATATGTGTGCATACCTACAAATACGTTCTACAAATCGATAAGAATAGCTATTTGAAAAATGACATCTTTACTAGAAAATGTCTTAATAACTAATGACCATCATTTTCTCTCTTCGTGAGAAAAACGAAAATAACGCAATAATAATCGATTAAGAAAATAGAGAAATAAGAAGTAGTAAAGAAGGAAAAGAAGAAAAAAATAGAAACGTAATACATCACAGTTTCGTTCTCATGAGAATCAGAATACAATATATCAACACAGCATAAAAAATATAGCCGGTGTTGGTGGCTTGTAACCATAGGTCAGTTCTAAGGACTACTATCAGAGTGCAGCACCTACTTGATCGTGGGAGGGTACTCCCAGTACCATCTAGTGGTACTCGGGGAATACCCGAAGTAGTTTATGCGATAAGAAAGTATAAAAAAAAAAAATAAAAAGAAAAAAGATGATTAATCAATTATTTCTATATTTTCTTAAACAATAATATACATTAATAAAAATATAATAAAATGGTACGAAGAAGAACATTATAAAAAATAAAATCTTACCTTTTTGTTATTTCCTCGTTTTATCAAACGATAGCATTCAAATCTCTACCGCCGTTAGCCAACCTCCAACCGACAGGTAGCGGGTTTCTGTATTCTATTTCACAATAACACCTCACTTGTCCTTTCACGACGAACACATTTTATCGATTACGATAACTTGTCGTTACTATTTCACTCACTATACATTATGATAATATTATTTTCTTAACACTTGATAAGATTTTCACGTAGAAAATTCACTTGAGTTCCACAGTAACGGCATGGCATGGCGGCGGCCGACACAACTCGTCGTACAGCGCTTTAAACGCTACGTCACACACTCCTACTCAACACCTGATTGGTTACCTTGTGTTATAATTTGGCGCGAATTTTATCCACGCGCGGGAAAGTATTGTATTGGGTTATGTTTCTCACATGTAAAGCAATATATATGTATATGTATATATATATATATATATACATTTGTTTGTAGAATTATTTCTAATTATTTTAAATGATTTCTATGGAAAAATTCATTATCATTTGTTGATAAAAAAGAAAAAAAAGAGAAAGAAAAATGAAAGAGTAATAATCTTTGTTATAGTGTTGCAGATATTTTTTAACTACAAGTGAGATTATTGGTAAGAGGTCATTCGTTCTTACTTGCGAAATGTTATAATCAGCTTATTATCTTTGTTTTCTTATTTACCAAGTCCGATTATACAATATAGTTCTATGTAACACGTAATAACATTTAAATAAATTTCTCTCGAATGAAATATATGTATAAATACATTTACTCTACAAAATCACCTGGATGTTTCGTTAACTACCGAGAATGGAAGCATAGACTGTATAAAACACACATAGAAATGTTATAAAGATAATATTTGACAAATTTGAAATGGAAATATATATTTATGAGAATTCTTCTTTTTAAATTATGCTTATGAAAATAATATCATTTGAGTTTATAAAAAAAAAGTTCTAAACAATTTAAAAAGTATATACAATAATAAATTTAATAATATAACTGAAAATTCGTACATGATTGGTTAAATTTTGAAATCGTTCAATAGATCTACCATTGAATGATTGGTTACGTTCTTTTTTATCTCTGTTTGGTAATATCACATTTGACGTAAAATTGGCGCAATCGACGATAAAGAATTTTTTAAAAGGAGTTTCTTAACTTATCATAATTCATGGCTTTTAATAGGAACACTGATGACGCAACATCGTCTGATCGTTAGAAGCTTTCTGATTGGTTGTTTTACAGGTCGGATGATTATTGTCATTTTTTCAGTTTATTGCGCTTGACGTGCTTCAGTTTCTAACATTAAAGATTGTTTTAATCAAGTAACTTATAAATAAAACAATATTTAATAAAATGGCTGATCCAGGGGGATGGCCAAGTAAGCAAGAAACGGATTTTTCATTTCAAGGAAACGAAAACTTCAATTTCAATGAAGTTCCTGGTATAGACGGTGAGTTTTGTTTATTGCGGCTTGAATATTCTTTATTTATATTTATATAATTATTCGTCTTTCATTAATATTATCGATTAAAGATTTACATTTTTATACATAATTAATAAAAGTATATAGATTACAAATTAATATTTAAAATTAATATAACTTTAAAGATCTTCAAATTTATTCATAATATTATTATTTTTTTTTTATAATTATTATATGTACAAGTAAAATCATTAATATGACCTTGTTTTTTGAATTACAGATATACTTACAAATTGTGAATTATTAAAAAATGAAACACTCTTTGGTGATGAAACAATACTTCCTGATTTAGATGAACATATGCAGATAGATGAAGATATATTTGACTTTCTGAGTAATAGTGATGAGTTTAAGGATTTCAAAGATTTAAATATATTGGAACAAACGCCAAATACAACAAATGTTTTAACACCACCGGAAACGATAGTTAACGAACAACCAATTCCGCCTGTTCAACAAGATGTATCACCTGTACAAACTAAATCACGTAAAGTACCGGTAGCACCACCACCTACGGTATTTAGTTCACAATATACTATATCGCAGAATATGAACATTAATGTTCAGTCTCCGGTAGTTGCTTTAGCACCAGTTACACAACAAAGACAATTATTTTTACCTGCTAAATTATTAAAGTCAGACAAAGTCGTTTATTCCAATAGAGCGCAAACTATCACATCTAATTCTGTACCGCATCAAATACATACAATAGTAAATACTCCAAGTGGACCGGTATTTACTACTGGTAAGTATTTCAAATTAAAAAACGAATTATCATTATTAAATTGTCAATTAAAATATTTCATTAATTTTCATTTTCTTTTAAGGTATTCCTGTAGTCTTAGATCCTGACAAAGTTCCAATAAATCGTTTAAATTCTAACACTCATGTTGGCGTACCAAGAGTTAGAGAAGTTAAACGTAGTGCTCATAATGCCATTGAACGACGTTATAGAACATCTATTAACGATAAAATTACTGAACTAAAAAATATTATTGCTGGCTGCGATGCCAAGTTGAACAAGTCAGCTATACTGAGGAAAACAATTGATTATATAAGATTTCTTCAGAATTCCAATGCCAAATTGAAAGCTGAAAACATGTCACTTAAATTTGCAAACCAAAGACCAAACTTACGCGACTTATTGGCAATTGGTGAATTAACGCCACCACGTTCAGAATCTAGCGAACCATCACTGTCTCCAGCTTCAGCACCGTTATCTCCAGCTTCACCTTTACCTATAAAAGAAGAACCAGATGTATTACAAAATATTCATACAACAAATAAACAAGAAGTAGGAATGAGAGATCATACCAGGTTAACATTATGCGGTATCATGTTCATGTTTTTGATATTTAATCCTTTAGGCATTATCTTGAATAGTGTCGAAAAGTTTAATTACAACTATTTAAATACAAAAGTGGATGGACGAACTATTCTTGATTTTCAAGGTAAATATAATAAACATTTATGTTCTCTTAAAATTATTATATATATATATATATAATTCAAATTGTTTTCTTATAATATATATTTTTTTCTATTTAGAATCGACCGAAACAGATAACAGATTATGGAGTAATATATTCCTATGGTTTACAAATATAATGCTCTTAATTGGTGGCTTATGTAGATTATTTTTATACGATGATCCAATTCTCCCAGCAGATAGTAAAATATTTTTTGAACTTCGACGGTGGAGAAGTCAAGCAGAATTTAATATATCAAAGCAAGAATACGGCCAAGCTTACAGAGATTTACATAAATGTTTAAAATATTTTAATCGTTCGTTTCCATTATCTCGTACTGAAATTGTTCTTGTGACTACTTGGCAAGCGATACGACAAATACTGCATAAACTTTGGATTGGAAGAGGGGTTCTTAATTTAAGTAAATACTTTATTGGAAAAACAGAAAGACAACAAGCTAAATTATCAGCTATGGAATTAGCTATCGTATACCAGCACATGTTGTGTTTACATTTATCTGAAGGACCCAAAAATGGTACACTTTATCTTGCTCTTTCTGCTATGAATTATGCTGAAATTGCAGATGAAAATATGCCAAAAGCACTATTGGCAGAAATCTATGTTAATGCAGCATTATGTTTTAAAAAGTATCTTTTTCCATTTATTCATAAATATTATTTGGGGAAAGCAAGAATGTTATTATTTTCGTGCACGGTACCAGCTAAATTCAAATGGATCATGAATGATGAAGGTGCAAGATTTGTAGCTACACAGAAGTGGCAATATGGTGTACAATCAGATAGCGAGTTTACTTCTCAAAATAGTAAGGCAGATCCTTTATCATTCGCAGCACGTGCTTATAGAGAACATTTAATTACACAATGTTTAAAATTATTAACTGGCACCGCTGGAGATTCACATGCATCTACGGTATTGGAATTGGCACGAAATATAATAGCTTCTGCAGAAGTTGATACTTGTTTTCCAAGTATGGATAAAATCAGCGTAGCAGGTATATAAATTTTAATTAATTAATTAATTAATTAAATGAACATTTTATGCATAACAATCTTTATGTAGGTTGTGAAGATGAAATTGGTCTTTGGTGGGGAGCAGTCATTTGTGCTGCTGCAGCATGGAGATTAGGAGACGAAGATGAAACTGTCTGGAATATTGTAAAAAATAAATTTCCTTATGAAAGAAATTTTCAACCATGTAATAACAGTAATCGCAGTCCATTGCCATATGCTGTTTTCAACGTTTTGCAAGCAGCTAAACATTCTTCTGAAGTAGTTTCAATGCGTTTAATGGATCAGGCAGGAATATTATTAGAAAAATCCATATGTTATTATCATTGTAAACAACAGTTATCTCCAAATGTTATGGTAAGCTTTATCTATACGTATATATAGTAGGTAACTTTAGATAAATAAAATTAATAATCTTATTCACATTTAATAAGATTACTAATGATACAAAAATATTTCATTTCTCCACCTGTGCGCACTGTTTCTTTTGAAGAATGCTTACCTGTTACGAGTGTGCATTGTAGTTGCATTGCGTGAAATACAACTATGCAATACTTCTACAGTGCAACTCCTGTGGCAGGCCAAAGTACCGTGTGATAATTATTATGTATATATATGTGTATAAGCAATCGATACTTAACATCTAATATTTTTAACATTACATTAAAATAATATATGATTATGATGTACTATTTATATTTTTACAGCTTACACAATTATGGCTTTGCGATTGGTTATTAGAGATGCGTACTATTTTATGGCAAGAATTTGATGGAGGATTAGAAAAACCAATTAGTAATGCATCTCTTGCTAGTTTTCAAAGAGATTTAGCGTGCTTAAGACAGTTATGTCAACATATGTCAGTAAGTATTCATCGAACCAAATGATAAAGGAATCTTATCTTATCTTGTCTCTAGAACTAGATGCATTCTTAATTGTTTTTTTTAGTGTATATTACCAAGAGTATTTTTATACGAAGCTACAGCACGTATTATGGCAGGAGCAGCACCAGTAAAAACTCAGACTTTATTGGACCGTAGTTTGCATCATAGAAATTCACGTTCATCTATTATTTGTGGAAAAGATAGATCCCAAGAACAAATCAACGGCGAAAGAGAACATGCATTCGCATTGTGCTTAGCATGTAAACATTTACCAGCTTTATTATTGTCTTCACCTGGTGAACGTGCCGGTATGCTTGCAGAAGCTGCTAAAACTTTTGAAAGAATTGGCGATAGGAAAAGACTTCAAGAATGTTATAAATTAATGCATCAACTTGGTCCAGCTATTTCTGTTAATTAATATTTCATAGATACATTCAATATAGTTGACATATTTTTATAATCATAATATAAGGTATATAATTAGGTTATAGTATTAAACCTTATTGGACGTTAAAATATAACGATATTTTTGTGTTGCACTCGTCTGTCACATAAAAAATGACAAGTGAAATATGTATATTGCATATAAACCGAATGAGCTATAACCTAATAAGAATTGTATAAAGAGAACTGACGACCGATAAGGTATAAATAATTTGTAAATTTATTTTGTTTTATGGATATTTATGTAAATATAAATAACTATTGTATATTGTGATTATAAAATTAATTAAAAACGTATCTTAGTCCTTTTCGATTTTTAAATACTTACATAGTTTGCGTTCATAATTTACGTTGATTACATGCATCATTGTTGTTCTTAACCTATGCAAAAACAGGCATCAAACGCATGCGCGTATGTATAAGAACAGGCATCAAACGCATGCGCGTATGTATACAACACATATGCGCATGCTCAATAACACATTTAGTTCCCACGAGTAAACGTAGGTGGTAGTGTTACTAGTTTATTGCAGTGCAGTGCGTAAGTGAATATTTATTATCGTAATTGCTTTTGATTGCATTTATTGATAAAATCTTAATATCTCTAAACTAATATCTTTTTTTTCTGGTTTTTTAACTCCATTCTACTTTACAATTTGTCCGTAGACATTTGATAAATTATTATATAAGTGAAAAAATATAGCATTTTGACAGTTTTTCCAGTGAGATAACCTCACTGTTGTTATTTATTTCACTTAGATTTAATTTTTTACTAGGTTTCCTGGGTGCATTCCTTAAACATGGATTCCGATACCGAATTACAAGAAGACGAGGAGGATATTCTTGTGTACGTCGAATTCGAAGGATTTGTTAATAATAATATATTTCGAAATGGAGAATTGCAATTAGATATAATTGGAATAGATACAGACCATCCTATAATGCAAATTGATGGGAAGGTACGTTATTTATAGATTATTCTTTTCATATTAAAAATTAAATTTACATATATTTTATCACTTAACCTTAAATTACTTATTGTAGCATTTGGCTTACTGATATGATAAAATTGTTCATTATTTCAAATAATTTAATGATGGAATTTTTCTGTTTATAGTTCTATGAAGGTACTTATGAGGATGCTGTAGGAACTTATATGTTTTTTGATAAAGATGACCAACCAGTAATCCATGATCCTGTATTTGATCAAGCTCCAACTTTAAAATATTTTGGAAAGACTAGAAAGATATTAAAAATGCAGAGAGTATTTGTTAAACAAAGGGTAGAAGTTCTCGGTGACTCTGAGCATAGTAAATGCATTCCAAATATTGATACGATTAAAGAAGCTGGCATTCCACCTATGTATCAATCAGAAGGTATTTTCAATCAAATTTATCTTAACATATGTAAGGGTAATAATATGGTCTTAGATTATTTCAAATTCTTTAACAAAATATTAACAACGTAGTTTTATATTATTTCAAAATTTATAACTAAATGTTAAAAATAAACAAAACATTGGTGGTGGATATGTTAATAATAAAAATTGTATATGTTGACAGCTTATTTTACCATTTAATTTTGATTTTATTTTATATAGCACTTTCCTTTTGGAAGGATATAAGAGACAAAAGAATAGATGCTTTATGTGCCTATTTGAAAAAACATAAAATCAGAGAAGAAATGAAGTCACAAGGTATTGCACTAGATTCCGAATCTGATGAAGATAATCCGTTCGCTATATATAAGGATACAGAAGAAGGGAAAAGCCAACAAAACTTGGTTAATTCTAACACCAAATCATCAGTGGATGTAACTACTTCTTCTACAAGCGAAAAAGCTTCCCCAAAAGAAGTTAAGGAACATATCCATTCTAAACCATCTACTTCGAAAACTAGTGATCCCATTGCTGACATGGATCGTAAAGTATGCAGACCTACTAAACTAGTTAATAGAAAGAAAGTATGCGTTAAAAGTAAAACGACAAAAAAACAGAAAAAGAAATCAAAGGTTGTGGAAGATGAATCTATTAAAAAAAATGATTGTAACACAGAATCAATACCTTCAATGGAAGAACAAAATTTGAATAATTCTACTTCAGATACTGAAGTGAATAATCTACTTGATAATATAGAAAATTATATTATAAATAATTTTGATATGAAGGATAATGTACAGGAACATAAAGATATTAATACAGACATTAACACGGTTGAAACACAAGTGAAAACAACTGATACTATACTTGATATTGTGGAAAATACTAAAGATAAAAAGCATGATAAGTTATCAAAGCGAGAAGCAAAATTGAAAGCGTTATTGGGAAAATTGAAGTCTGATAAATAATGTGATAAAATGAATACAAATATCAGTGATAAGGTATAATTACAAGTAATATATAATTTAATAAATAATTCCGCTTGATAATTTATTAAAAATCCATTAAAAAATTGATCTTTTTATTGTATTGATTAAAAACATAATTATCGTTAAAATTATCGTTCAATATGAAATACTGCACTGCACTAGCCAATAGTTTATACATACATACATATAT